AGCAAATTGAAGATATCAGCCAATATTAAGATACATTCTTTTGATATGGAGGGCAAAGGTATGCAGATAAGATTTAGTTAAGAGACTAAAAGTGTGTGTGTGTGTGGGGGGGGGGGAATTGAAATAAGAGTTCAAACAAGTTCAAAATGATTTTCCAAAATTCTTTAAGCAAGATCATAGAATGAACAATCTCCACGTTTTGTATAGATTAATAAAGATTACAATAATAAATGAAATTGTATTTCTAAAAGCTAACAGTTTGCTTTTGAGGATTTACATTAAGTGATAGCAGTTTGTTCAGAAGAGTTCTATAGAATTGTTTTCTTTTTAAAAAGCTTCTTAAATTCATTATGCCATGTAGTCAGTTCCTGAAGATGTTGCAACTCTAACTGAAGTGGACTGAATCCAAATAAAGTTAAAACAGAAAGCAACATTCTAATTTTATATTTCTCCTAGGTGTAAAGATAAAAGGAGGTATAAATTGTAAACAAGCAGTCCTAGGCAATAATGTGCTAGAATTTGTGCTTACTTTCTTTCTACCTTTCTCCCTCTATCTAAAGATAAAAGGAGGTATAAATTGTAAACAAGCAGTCCTAGGCAATAATGTGCTAGAATTTGTGCTTACTTTCTTTCTACCTTTCTCCCTCTATCTGTCAGAGGAATTAAAGATTTTTATGTGACAGAACTGATGTATTGATCAATAAAGCAACAACAATCATTTACACTGAAAAGTTTAGAAGAGTTCCAAGAAACTGCATTAACCATGCCAGATAGCTACAGCAGGATCAATAGACAGCCATTGCACTTAGTGAAGAACATAAAGTACGGCTACATTTTTCTTACTCAGAATGAATACAGATTAAAGTAACAATCAACTGGGAAAATCTGTTGCTCAAAGCCCTTTAGAATGAACATAGATGTGACAATCTTGTCCCCACCTTTTAAAAATGAGGCTTCTGGAAACTGAATTACTTATCTGAAGTTCAACAATGCCCCCGTCTAACTATAACTAAAGATGTATTTTTATATTTTATCCTTGAATGACTTTACAATCTATGTCATTAACAATGAAAGGATAAGGCATTGTTTTTATTTAAAAGACAATACAGTATTATATATAATTTCTGTTTCAAGAAAAAAGAGTGGAAAATGCAATTTTAAAAAGTCACTGTAGAAGGGTTCAGAAAGCCTCATCTCATCTTATGCAGTCCTTCATAATTTTAATTGTTTAGTTCTGATGCTGAAAGTACGATGTGCAGGAGAAATTCCATGTAATTGAGCATCAGTGTTTCCTCCCACGCTTAACCTCATATGGTGAAATAAAAACCTATATTCTCTAATATTATCTTTATCCCCTGCCCAGCCCATAGGGAATATTGTGCTATCAGTGGGTAGCTGAAGAAAGTTAGCATCCGGTCCTCCATACTATTTGCTAATTAGCAAAGAAGAAATTCCACAATAATAAATAGGATTGATTAGATTTATTTTCCTTTTTACTGCCAATGTAACTGACACAGTATCCAGAATTCCATCTGGTAATTTTACCTACTATTTAAATATCAAAAGAGTACATCTTAATTTTTAGCCAAAAGAGCTCAAGCACAAGAAACAGCTCAAGCTAGAAATATTTGAACTTGCTTAAATAATGAAAAACAAGATAGAAAATGCTTAGCACTGGAGGAAAAACATTCACATGGCATTTTACGATTTGCAAAACATTTGACTTAGATTATTTTGCTGTAACTCTTACAGCAATTCTGCAGCATATTATTAAACTTATCATCATATTGCAGATTAGCAAGCTGAGGTTGAAAGACTACCTGGCCTAACACTATTTAGTGACCTCCCAACAGAGGTAAGGTAGATTTACAGCTCAGTCTCTTAGCTTTCAAACAGGTTGAACATTCTAAAGATGAATTTTGGGGGATATTGTTATATTCCTTCTTCCTTCCTAACTTGATTATGATCTAATTTAGTTTTTAAATTTCCTAGCATCTCAGCTGATTACCTGAAATAATGATGATTAAATCCTCAGTTGCAAAAGAGAGATTAGTTATAGAAAACATAGTTGCAGAGGACAAAATAATGATGCACTCTTGAACTCACAGCATTGCAATAAGCAATTACCTTGTTGAAGTAAAGAAGCCACCCACGTAAGAGTACTGCAGCTTTGTTCTTTATTTTCAAAGACTAAGTTCTGAAATCCTCCACATAAATACCTGAGTGCTCTACATCAAAGGATTTTCTTACTTGTATGCCATTTAGTTTAATTAGAGATAATGCAAACATGGATTTAAACTGTGCTGAATTAGAAAAGATCCCCAGAAAACACTGTCAAGAAATTAATCAATTTTGTTTTAATCTTGTACATCTTCCCCAACACCACAATACCTGACTGGTGCACCTCTGCTTTGTGCAGGCTTCAGCAGAACTGTCACAGTACTGTCCGTTTGATTTAAAGGTATTTCCAGTTCATAGGGTGGCATAGAAGGTGCTAGACAAACAAGAACACATGAAGCAACTCATTTAATGTCTTTCATATCATCTAGATCCTAAAATAATCTTCTTCCTAAAATAATGTTTAGAGCAGGGCCATCCACCCAGAGTATTCTAAACCAATTTCTCTATCTTCAATGAACTTGTCAGCCTACCAATAACCATGTTGCTCTTCTGTTAGGATATCCTTCTATGTAAGAACACTCAATAGTGAGTTCATGAACAATCTGAGTTTATATGAAGTCTGATTATTTAACCATTTACATTAATCTTTAATCTGTTAATTTAGGAATTATTATCTTTTCTGGACACCAAGATAACTTACTCTGTTGTTAGTCAGGACTGAACTAAAGAAAAGCTTAAATTTATATTCCCAAAGATGCTCTCCATATTCCACTTTTGTCAGGGCATGCTGCTTTAGGTTTTCATCTTTCTTATGTCCTAATTTGTATCCAGATTTCTCAGATAGTCCTTCTAACTTGACTGATAAAGTGTGTAGCCTTAAAACAGAATCAAATTGTTGGGTATCCTTTTGATATCCTCAATTTCATAGAGCAGACATCAACGATGAATACTTTTTTTTTAGTCTATTCCTTTCAAAAGGAAGTTAAGAGAACTTCATTTTCTATGAGGGGCCACACTTTTCTAAGTTTCTTGTAATCAATAATAATTTAATTAATTCCATTATTCTGTTGCTGGTGATGCAATAAGATTTTAAAAAATTAATTTAACAGTAACAGCTGGTAGGTTGACAGTTGAGTTTCAGCAGTACACTATTTTCAGTATTGATTGAGGAAAAGTTAAGCTTGTCCCTGCTAATACAGGCATTTTAATGAAATTTTCTACATTATTATTTAATAATTCTGCAAATAATAGAAGTTACAGACTATTGAATATGGCTGTTGGTAAGTAACAAAAATCAAGGTATCAGTCTGTAAACTACTTAGGATTATTATATTAAGAAAGGCAGCCATATAATTTTCTAAACAAATAAACAAACAAGCAAACAAAAGTCCTGTTCATTTTAGAGTTTAAAATACGATTGGATTGGGCATATTGGAATATATAAGTTTAAATGTAGTGTGCTTAACCATCTTAAGTTTGTCCTAATTATGCTTTCCTTAAAATTCAGAAAAATTGAACAGCGCTCACATCACTTTCCAAGAATAGATCCTAACGTTACTGGCACAAGAAACTACTGATTTCAGAACTTTTGAGAAATAATCCATGTTTTATTTCTTGGGATTTCAGGTGGTAAACATATATACTTAATAGAATCTGTAAATAAAATATATGCCTAAGTAACAGTACACAATACTATATGATGCCTTACTAAAACTATTTCACTAATTAACTCTGTCATTAAGTTTGTTAGAGTTACTGACGCTCTGATAACTATGCTTAAAAAAAAGCATCGCTATGGACATGGGGCTAGGACTGACTACTGAGGCTATATAGCACACTAGCTTTTAAATAATACTCTGGCTACCAGTGTATTTCTAAACATAATCTAAATGGCTTGAGCTAACATTCAAAATAGCAAACTGATTTGCCTTCAGTTGCCCCTAACTTTACTTCTTTCATCAGAGACCCTCATTCCTCTCTCTTTCTTCCATCCAAAATCAAGTAGAGGTTACCCAAGAGAAAGTATTTCAGTTATAATGCATATGCATATAGATATCCACTGTAAAAGGCTGATATTTGGAGGTGCCAGGTAAATGCTTTTTTCTAGGCCTAAGCCTCTTGCTAGTTGTGCTGCTTTCAACTTTTTAATACTTCACTTATATTGTTGTTATTGATTTTTTTTATTGGACACTGTTTTATAACTGAAGCACTATTGTTTTATAACTGGGAGTTTATTAAATTGAAGGTTGCACAAAAATGGTTTTAATACATGTAATAAGTAAAATAAAATCTCCTTCAAACTGAGATAAACTTCTGGTGATTTCATGGGCCTATCTTTGTAAAGGTAGTCTTTGGGTTACGATGGCAGTTAGGATCAGGATTGCCATCGCTAAGCAATATGGTTGTAAAGTGCAACATCATGTGATTACATTGCTCAGTGATGACGGGGGGGAGCCCAGAGCAGGCCATCTGAGAGTTGGGGGAGACCGAGGGAGGGGGTGCTATGGCACCGCGTGAGGGCAGGAAGGCCATGGGGTGGAGAGCACAGCATGAGTGCGAGCACAGGAAAGCCAGGGGGACTCACCAGAGCAACTTGCAACCTTTCTGGCCAGCTTCCCCATTCACGTTGCTTGTGGTAAGCTGGCAGGGAAGGTTGCAATTGGCAATCATGTGACCACAGTTCCCTGTGACATCATAATCGTGAGCCAGGCATCTGATGCCTGGATTGCAATCACATGACTGCAGAGATGTTGAGTTGGCCAAAACTTCGAAGATCATTTGTATGTCCATTTTTTCAGTGCTGCTGTAACTTTGAACAGTCATTGAATGAATGGACATTAGCTGAGGACTACCTGTGGTTCTGAGCATGAAACTGAGCAAACTCAGGGAGGCAGTGAAGGACAGGAAGACCTGGCGCAATATGGTTCATTGGGTCACGAAGAGTCGGACACGACTAAACGACTAAGCAACAACAACCTGTGGTTCTATTTGC